TCTTCACAGAGTCTGTCTTCGTGAGTTGCTTAGCATACAAATTCAGTAAGTATTAGAAAGAATCCAACCCTGATGCACACCTTTCTTGATTTTAAACATGGAGTGTTCCCTTTGTCTCATTCAGACAACAGCTTCTTGGTCTAGATATAGATTTTGTATTAGCACATTTTAGTGTTCTGGGATTTCTGTCCTTCTCAGTGTAAGTGATAGTTCATTGCAGTTCACGCAGTCAAATGCCTTTGCCTAGCCCATAAAACACAGACATTGTTCAGGTATTCCCAGCTTTCAGCCAAGCCCATAAAACACAGACATTGTTCAGGTATTCCCAGCTTTCAGCCAGAGTCTGTTTGACAACAGTAATGATATCCCTGGTACCACAGCCTCTTCTAGATCTTGAACTTCTGGCTATTCCTGGCCAGTGTACTGTTCAAGCTGTTTTTGGTATTATCTTCAGCAATATTTTGCTTACATGTGATACTAATTATATTATCTGATGATTTTTTTTTATATTTTTTGTGTGTGTACCGTCAAATCAGATCCGACAGGTACAGGAGGAGATTGCCCCTCCTTTTCCGGCAGAGCATCTGGTGGATTTGAACCACATATCTCTGGGATTAATAATTTCTGTATTCTGATTGATCACATTTCTTAGGATTGGGAACAAATGGCTCTCTTCCAGTCATGGCCCAGCAGCTGTCCTGAAAGTTTCCTGGCATGGACTGGATCCAAGATTATATCTGCTAGTTGAAACATGTCAGTTGGTATCCCATCTGTTCTTGGGACTTTATTTTTTGTCAGTGTCTTCAGCTCAGCTTGACCATCAGCTTTGTTACTAGTAGCTCTTGTTCTTATTGTACTTCTGAAATTTTTCAGTGTCGACAAATTTTTTTTGGTACAGTGATTCCATTTTTTCTTAATGCTTCCTAGATTTACAAGATTTTCCCCTTGGCATCTCTTGGCAACTTGAGGCTTGAGGCTTAAGGAATAATTATTATACCATTAATGTAAAGTTCCATAATAAAGTTGTGACAGTACAAGAAATCAGTTTTGAGTCTCAGTTCAGCTAGTGCTCTCTCAGACAGCCTCGGGCAGGTTGCTTAGCCTCTGTGTCCATTTACTCATCTGTGAAATGGAGTTAATAGTATATGTATCATAAAGTTGTTGTGAATAGGAAATATGGTGATGCATACAGAGGGCTCAGTACAGTGCCTGGAACAAATTCACAGTCAGTAGAGTTAATTATAGGCTGTGTTTTTGCTGTTTAAATGGAATCTTTTGTTCTGTGCTTTAGTTTTCCCTTCAGCTAACATTTTAGGATATAGTTAACTAGATTCATCTTTGATACATAGTGAAAAGGTCTTTAGTTACTTGACTGGAATTAAAGCAGCTAAAATCAGAAGATAAATGTAATAAGATAAAAGGCACTTTATACATTCATTTTAGTATTACTTCATCTGTTCTCATGTTGTTAGGTACGGAAGTATATGAACTACAGATCTGAACCTTACTCTGTCTTGCTCCATCCTCACAGTCTGATATAATCAACTCCATTGTTATAGTCACTGTCCATCTTGTCAAGGGTCTTCCTCTCATTTTCCAAGGACTGGTCTCTCCTGATCACATGCCCAAAGTATGTGAAATAAAGTTTTACCATCCTTACCTCTGAGGAGCACCCTGGTTGCACCTTTACCAAGACAGACTTGTTTGTTCCTTTTTGCTTGCCCTGGGATATACAGCACTCTGCTCCAGCCCCACAGTCCAAAGTCAGTGATTCCTCTACTGTCGCCTTCTTCATTGCCCCACTTTCAGATGCATAGGAAGCAGGTGCGAATACCAAGGCTTGGATCAGGTGCACCTTAGTTTTAAACTGCCATCTTTCCTCTTAAGCACTTTGAAATGGGTTTTCCCCAGTGCAAAATGTCCTATTTATTTATTTATTTATTGATTGATTGGGTTTTTTTTTACTGCTTTTACCATGGGTGTTGATTGTGGATTCAGATAAAATGAAATTGTTGACAACCTCAGTCTTCTCCCATCTGCTGTTATGTTGCCTCTTGGTCCAGCGGTGAAGATTTTTGCTTTCTTGATCTTTAGATGTAAGCCATATAAAAGACTAATCTTTGTTTTTCTGCAGCAGGTACTTCAGGTCCTTTTCACTTTAGCAAGCAAGATTGTCATATGCATAATGCATATACCTTTCCGGATTTTAAACCATGCAGCATTCCTTTGTTCTGTTCAGACAGCTGATACTTGGGCTGTGTTTAGGTTTCTCATGAGACCAGTTAAGTGTTCTGGGATTCTCATTCTTTCCAGTGTTATCCATCATTTATTTTGATCTGCATAGTTGAATGCAAGTAAACCTCTTTCATTTACTGCTTTCAGCCAAGAGCCTTCTGACTTCGGCAGTGATAATCCCTTGTCATTAAGGATATTGTCCATGAAGAAAGCAGAAGGTCATTACAAAGACGGGGGGAAGAAAAGACCAAAATGGATGTCAGAAGAGACTGGAACTTACATTGCACTGTGTATGAACTGATTATGGAGGATGGCACAGGATAGCACAGGTTTCAGATCCATTGTTCATCGTGTCACTATGAGTTGTACTTAACTCAATAGCACATAACATGTGCAAATTGTTCAATTTCTTCATATGGGGATAAAAATATACTTTCAGTTATCGGAAAGTGCTAAGTCCTTCCTCTGGCCTTAAGACTTTTATAATTGAAATGAAATATTCTTCCTTTCCTTTTCCCTTCCTATCTAAACACACAGAAACCCCCAAATTCACTGCTGTTGATTTCAGTTCATAGTTGGGTACCCTATAGAACTGAGTAGAGCTGCCACATACGTTTTAAGGGTATCAACCTTTATAGACGCAGGCAGCCTCATCTTTCTCCTGTGGAATGACTGAGCCAGTGACCTCAGTAGAAGATAGTCCAGTGTTTAATCCTCATATCACCCTGGCTTCTTGCATGTCTGCTTCCTTGTCAGCTGAAAGGACAGAACTTTAAGAAACCTTTCCCTGCCTGTCCATTCTGATTAACTCAGTTGAGCTTTCCAAAAATGATAACTTGAGTTACTAGCCTTTTTTCCTTTTGTTTTGTTTTCCTCTTTACTCTTTCTTCTCAATAGGCATGTAAGGTTTGAATGCAAAGATTTTGCCTGTATTTTTAGTGTTTTGCCCCCACCTTAGATGAGGGATTGACAAAATAAATACACTACCAGGGCACCTTCTATATTTAGGACAGATTTTTAATTGATAGGTTAGCCTAATTTGAAAGAGTAAACCGTCACAGATGCCTTGCCTAGTCATTTTAATTCTTGATAACTTTTTGCAGGTTTTAAGACTCTAGGATTGAGAGGATATAGAATTCAGATATAATGGGATTTTGAGTGTCTTTTTATAAAGAAGGAAATGTTACACTCTGATCAGTTAGTGGATTGATTACTGGAACTTTGATTTTATTATTATTCTTGAAATTTCAAGTATTTCCCTTCTCAAATCCTTTTCTTTTTTAACATAGTTTAGTAGTAGTAGTATTAGGTGTGGATGAGTTGATTTTTCGACTCATTACGATGTCCCATGACAAGACTAGAACTGTCACATAGCGTTTTCTGGGCTATCATTTTTATGGGAGTAGATTACCAAGTCTTTCTCCTGTGGAGGTGCTGGATGGATCTGAACTACCAACCTTTAGGTTAGCAGATGAGCATTTCAATTTAACTGTTGCACTGCCAGGGCATTGCTATCAGGTCGGAACTGAGTGTAGATGATCCTCTGTTGGGTTTTCAGAGGCTGTAAATTGCATGAGAGGAAATTGCCCAGCTTTTTCCTTGGAGCTGCTGGTAGATTGGGACAGCCAGGGAAGGCTCACCTTTGAGTTTGTGGTGCAACTCTCTACAAACTATGCCACCAGTGGCCCCTCCAGGGCTGCTTAATATTGTTATTAGATGTATAGTAGGTTGCAACTCTGGAACTTGAGGGACTTCAGTATCAAGTCCAGAGAGTAAATCCATGATTGTGTAGATTGCATTAAAAGCTCTTGTCACCATTTTTGAGCACTTTTGCTGTGGTAGACAATGTTTCTGTTTCATAGATGTGTATCAGATTGCAGAGATGCGTATCTGCTTGTTAGGGTTCACTGCTGTGTTGGTAAGAGTGAAGCTGTGAAACATGAGGAACATAAAAGGTTTTTAATCTAGTACAGGAGTTTAAGGAAGGCTTTCTTGAGATCTGAACTGAGTCCTGAGGGATAACCAACAGGTAGGTATGGAAATAGCAAAGGAAACAATAATTGAGAAGTCATGGGCTTGGACAAGTAATAGGTTATTCTTAGAATATAAGTTTAAAAGTAAGGACTGACTTATGGTGAAGCTTGGAAACAGGCCATACAGGGCCTGCAATGCCATGTTCAAGAGCCTCTATAAGTTATTTTATGGGGAGTTATTTTGAGCAATTGCAGGGTCAGATTTGTATTTTATAGTTTATGGCCTAAATGATTTAGGAACCCAAACTGAAGACAAGAGGGCATGTTAGAACACAGCTGCAGTTGTCCAGGGCAGAGGATTAAAGCCATAGCTCAAAGCAATTCTTGTTAGCCTTTTGAAAAATAAAATAGCTCTTTCCTTGAGATTATACAAAGATATATATATCAGGCCTTTTGTTGTGTTTAGTTATTATCATAGAGAAGACAATGTTTTACATTTGTGTGAAAGCAATGACTTGTTAGATTAAACATGGACTATGTTATTGTTCTTGTGTATCGAAGCAATCCAGCAATTTTTCAGAGGTGGTTAATCGCATGGGGGGAAATTGCTCATCCTTCTCCTGCAGAGGACCTGAGGGCCTCGAACCTTCTGGGATTGCAGCACAGTTTTTTGGCCACCATGCCACCAAAGCATCCCTAAATTTGGGCTGTCTAATTTTAAAATTTATACGAGTTTATAATTTCCATGTGCTGATTTATTTTTTCTTTTTTCCTTAAGGCTATTAGGAAAAGATGGTGGATCGCTTGGCAAACAGTGAAGCAAACACTAGACGCATTAGTATAGTGGAAAACTGTTTTGGAGCTGCTGGCCAACCCTTGACAATACCTGGACGAGTTCTTATTGGAGAAGGAGTGTTGACTAAGTTGTGCAGGAAAAAGCCTAAAGCAAGGCAATTTTTCTTGTTTAATGATATTCTTGTATATGGCAACATTGTTATCCAGAAGAAAAAATACAACAAGCAACATATTATTCCCCTGGAAAATGTCACTATTGATTCCATCAAAGATGAGGGCGACCTGAGAAACGGATGGCTTATCAAGACACCAACAAAATCATTTGCCGTGTATGCCGCCACTGCCACTGAGAAGTCAGAATGGATGAATCATATTAATAAGTGTGTTACTGATTTACTCTCCAAAAGTGGGAAGACACCCAGTAATGAACATGCGGCTGTCTGGGTTCCTGACTCTGAAGCAACTGTGTGTATGCGTTGTCAGAAAGCAAAATTTACACCTGTGAATCGGCGTCACCATTGCCGCAAGTGTGGTTTTGTTGTTTGTGGGCCCTGCTCTGAAAAGAGATTTCTTCTTCCCAGCCAGTCCTCCAAGCCTGTGCGAATTTGTGACTTCTGCTATGACCTGCTTTCTGCCGGGGACATGGCTGCGTGCCAGCCTAACAGATCAGACTCTTACAGTCAGTCATTGAAGTCTCCTTTAAATGATGTGTCTGATGATGAAGATGATGATGATAGCAGCGACTAAGGACACATTTTGAAATATTTAATTGGATGTGACTATCTAAGAACTCAGTCAGCTTTGGAGAAGAAAAAAATGTAAAATTCTGAGTGCTATCTCAATTTTGCTGTAGCCATGAATTTGCCTGAGAAATTTTTGACCTAGGTGCCTCATTATGTTCTTTAGAAAGCAAGTCCTCCCCACCCTTTCTATAGAGACTGTTGCAAATAGATCAGATGAAGTTTTGACCTTCTGTTCTTGTTTATTTTTAGAGTATTTTTGAAGGTTGGATATGCTTCTTACTTAACAGATTATGTACTGCATTTTTAATTTTTGTTATGTGGAAAACGAAAGCAAAAAATAATGATAAAAGGAATATAATATGACTAACAATAATGTTAGCTTTTTTCTAACCTTCTGATATAATGGTTAAGATACCAGTAACAAAAATGTATAATTTGGTGATACTTTGATTTTTCACATACCAATTGGTGCCTTATCTTAATAGCACTGTTAACATGAAATGAGTCCCTACTTTCTCACATTTTAATTTGTTTAAAAACTATGCTGGTGCTCCTGAGTTTATAAAATGAATGTTTTTGATTGGGTGTAATTCTGGACAGCAAAAAATAACTAAATTTAGAAATATCTTCATAAATATTTTTCCATAAAATAGTTATATTTTTACATTTTATAAGTACCAAACTATGATTGTCAGATACATAGTTTAAATTAATAATAGGTTGTAAATTTTAGGAATTTGGTTTGAAATTATCAAATAATACTGAATTGTCATATTGCATTAGTTTCTACTTTTAATAAGACCATTTATATTCATCTGCTTTAACATTGTTTCTGGAATGGAAAAAATCTTTTTGTAATACCCTTGAAAATTAACTCTGTCTTAAAGCAATAATCTAACAGTAGAGCACAACATATGCTTAAAGATTTGAAAGAAACAGTGGTCAAATAGAAAATGTCTTTAGAAATTTAAGCTTGACTACATTTCATATCTATTGGAAGTATTGTTTATTTCTGTATGAAGCTATCTTTCATTTACAAATATAGTGTTATATTTTATAAAGTTTTGTAAAGTCCCAAACAGTATTTCTATTTTTGTAAAACAGTTTCATGTTGAATCTGTTTGTGAAATCTTTTTGCAATCTATGGAAATAGAATAGCAGTTTTTAAATTGTGAACTTGTTGAGCCCAACAAGATTGCTTTTGAGAAGTGGTAATTTTTCACTCTTTGCTTTTGAGGCACCCATTAGGTTGAAAGTATATTTATCATAAAACTTGATGCATTTTGCACTACTCCTCATTTGTATGCTGCAAATAATTAAAGTCTTTGAAATATGATAAATCAATCTAAAGTTGTAAATTGTATTTTGTTTTAATCTTCAAATAGGGATATATTGCAAATGTCATGAGAGGTTTGATTGAATAACCTGTGATCAAAGACTCTTTGGTATTTTAATTTAAGGCACTAGTTTTACACTACTGTTCAATCTTCAAAGTATATGAGACACACAAATCTTCCTGTAGAAAATGTGAAAGAAAAGCACAACAGGGCTAGTTTTTAGTTTTTATCAATCAAATGGACTTTAACTTCTAAGTTATGTATACATAGAATCAGTCAACATATCTAGAAAGGATTATGAGACCTGAGAATGGGGACTTGCTGAGAAGGAACTTTTAGCAAATTCAGAAACCAAGGAGAAATGTTCCAAAATAACATTTGCATTGTCAATCTTTCTTGGCTCTGTTTTTACAATTAAAAAAAAAATACAATTTGCCATCTGTTCTCTGTGTGTTGTGACTTGAAGATTCCTCACTTCCCCCAGGTTAAGTAATAAAGGTATACATCCGTGCCTCATTACTCAACAACCGTACGTACTTGCTCTATTCTAGGCTTGGCTCTTTAGGTGTTATGAGTAAAGCAGAAAACACAAATTCCCTTCTTTTCAGGCTAATTATTTATGTGGAAATAGAATGGGCGAAATGTTTTCTTCTAGCATTTTTCAGTCACTTTTAAAACTTTGATCATAAATCGATATCAAATTAAAAAAACCTTGAACTCACTGCCATGGAGTGGGAACCGACTCCTAGCTAACTCTTCTGTGGGTTTCCAGAGGCTGTAAATCGCACAGGAGGTGAGTGCCCATCTTTCTCCCTCAGAGCAGCTGGTGACTTCAAATTGCTAGAGAGGCATCACTTTTGAGTGAACCGTACCGTATCCTGTGCCATGCTCATCATCCTTGACATGCTTGAGCCTACTGTTAAAGTCACTGTGTCAGTGCATCTTGGTGAGGGTCTTCATTTCATTCTCTGACCCCTCTCTTCCTGATAACCTGCTCTAAGTATGTGAGATGAAAGTTCCATAAAATGAGTTATGATTATAGTCAAGGATAATCTGTTCTTGTTTTCTATGAATATTTGTTATTTAGACTATTATAAAAATATGACTTATGAATTCAAGAAATCTATTAAACCCAAGATTTAGAACTTGAAGCATTCAGAAGTCATACATGTTTTGAAAAGTACAAGGTCAAAATGTTGGCAACTGTTTGAATTTCATTTTTAAATTCATACTTTGGTTTCTGTGACTGTGAGTTGCCCCACTACTTCCCATGATCCTATCTCTCTAGATTTTATAAATTCAACACTAAAAATAGCAAGGACAGTGTGAGGACAGCCATATCTGACCTCTACTAGTTCTACAAAGTAGAACAGCCCCCATCACCAATGTGTAAAACCAATTCCCATGAAGTCAGACATGTTCCCCATGCTCACCTGCCTACTACCAACTCCAACACCAAACATACTGCCCTACCGTGTCTGAAATATGATGTAATAACTGCACAGACTACATCAAACCATACTCATGATTATGGGCTTTATAAGGGAAGTTAACAGGTTATAAATTCAGGTTGACAAACAGGATACAATTTCACCGGACAGCTTTCAAAGAGTACTCCCAAATCCTTCAGCCTTGCAGTTTTAGACCAGTGTTACAAAGTTCTCCTAATCCTGCCAATTATGGCTTCCTCTCTCTGTACTCCAACAAACTTGGGCAAAGTCATCTAGCTCTGGTTCCGTGATGTAGCAGTCCTGAGGACAGCACTGTCTCTTACCAGCTCTCTGTTTCTCTGCTATGGCCGCTTCCCTATCTGAGAGTTGTAGGAATCTTTGGACCTGAAGGACTTGCACTGCATTCTCTGTGTTTCTTTTGCTGGTGGTGGAGATTACCAGATTCTGCCACCGAATCTATACAATGTAATGGCAATACTAGCTAATCACCTTGTGGGTAGAATAACACACCCTTTTTGTATAATCCTGCCTATCCAGAGGACAAAACTTAATGGATAGGAAGCCATTTTTAATAATAAAGCCTTTACACCACAGCAACCTAGAGCATTTCCTGTGCCCTAGGTGTGCCTTACAGTACTGACATCTCCCTCCCCAAACTCCCACTGTCTCTTCTCATGGCTATAGTGTCTGCTAACCAGGTCCTCAAATGTTTTTTCATTCTCTCCTTCCTTTGGACACTACCTCCTTAGAGGCTTCCTCTTTAGTTTTAGACTAAAGGCAAATACTAGGGATAGATCAGGGTTTAGGACTGTTGTACATAGGGTCGCTATGAAAGCAACTCGGCACACAACAACAAACTGCTGTTAGCCTTACCTTGTAATTATGCTATAGCTATCCAAATGCCTTTAAGTTGTGGTGCTGGAGAACAGCATTGAACTTAGCATGGACTGCCAAGAGAAGTAACAGGTCTGTCCTGGAGAGGGCAAAACCAATTTTCTCCTTGGAGGCAAGGATTTTGAAGCTCTGGAGGGACAGCATAGGAAAGGAAGACCCCAAATGAGATGGACTGACAGTAACTGGGGAAATGGAGTGTGTGTATTGGAGTCAGTGAGACTAGGTCAGGATAGAATAGGGCTCGGAGGTATCTATGAATCACAGGTGACCTGATGACACATAACAACCGCATAACTATTCTTGCTGCAAACCTGTTTGGAAAAAACCTTTAGCCACAAAATACAGTGTGTTAAAATACAACTTAGTGGCTTTCACATAAAACTGAATTGAAAAAAATGAATGAAATGAATAAGCATATTTCTTTTATATTATTTTTAAATTATATTTTAATGAAAGTTTATCAAGAACTTGGGCTTCCAACCATTCACTGTTGCACATTTTTCTCCCTGCCCCCTTCCCCCACCCCCAGGTTGCTTTTTTCTTGGGGAAAAAAGTCCTTTCATTGTTACATAGTTCCCCCCCACCCCAGACCATTTTCCTATGCAGCTTATTCTGGACTCTTGTTTTGCCAATAATACCTAATTACATATTTCTTTTATACAGTTCTCTCCCTCATCTGTGTCAATACTGCGTAGATTATTTATCCCCTCTTAGTTTCTCTCCAGCCCCCATGTCAGTACTGTTTTAAATCAATGGCATTATGCAGTATTTTTGTGACTGAGATGTTTCACTCAGCATAATGTCCTCCAGGGTCACCCATTTTGTATAGTAATTCATAAATTCCTTGTTTTTCAATGCAGCGTAGTATTCCATTGTGTGAATGTACCATACCTTCTCTATCCATCCATTTGTTGATGGGCACTTGGATTGTTTCCAGCTCTTTGCTATTGCAAACAAAGCCGCTATAAACATGGGTGTGCAGAATAAGCATATTTCTAAAGATAAAAATATCCCTTGTAGAGGTAAAGAAAAACAAAATGGATGTCAGAACAGACTGATAATTGCACAGAACATTGAAAAGCCCAAACAAAAGGAAGAAATGAAGTAAAGGAATTGAACAAAAGATTCCAAAGACATCCTGAAGTGAAGTAGTATAATGCAGTGTGCAATGAGCTAGAATCAGAGAAAGAAAATCGCTCAGCATTTCTCAAGCTGAAATAGCGAATAAATTTAAGCCTTGAGTTGCAATACTAAAGGGAGCTGTGGGCAAAATCTTAAATGATTTAGGAAGCAGCTGAAGAAGACAGAAGGAATACAGAGTC